GAGTGAGTGGAATTCCAACAGTAGGAATAAGGGCAGTGATCTAGCTCACAACGAGTGAGTAGTGGACACTGAGCCTGGACCTTGCGGAAATCCCGGAGAACTCACCATGCGGAGTTAAGGATTGAGAGTCGAGCAAAGTCTAGAGAGAAAGTGAAGTTTTAGGAGAGTTTGGCCCCACGAGCTTAGTCGGCATAGAGAGCCGCAAGCCCTCTTGCAATGGCCCATTTACATTCCCCCACTCCATTCATTCCATTTCCAACTCATATAAACTAGATATAGCTTGTACATAACAAGTTAGTATTGAATAGACCCGTGAAGGGACAAGCAGAAGTTACATCCAAGTGGCAAAGACACCATCCACAACCCTAATGCCCCCTCTGAGCTAGTTGCTCACGTCTAATGTTGATGAGCGACAATTTGATCTTGGAGCTGGACTATGAGCAAATACTCAGTCTCAGCTAATATGTGTGAAGAACTGAGGGAAAAGGAAATGAATTCAAATGAATGAATATATCCGTGGCCTGGCACGGATTAGTCCGAAATAATATAAAGGAGGTCTTGTGACTAAGTAGTCACATGGTGGATTCTGGGTGAGTTGCTCTCCCAGAATGTTCCCACGCTAACACAGGAATGTGGCTGTTCAGGTTAGCTCCGTTGGAGTACCCTCATAGCACACGGTTCCTCCAACATCTAAGACCCCTCACATCATAATACTCAGCCTTGACGTCCAAGAGAGACGTAGGTGAGTGTTTGTTTGAGGTTTTTGCAGACTCGGTAGCGCCCCAGGACCAAAACCCGGCCCCACGAACCACACACGCACACACTACCACCCTCCCCCTTCTCTCTGTCTCAAGTCTAGGCAATAGACCCATTACAGCGTCTGGGGTTAGATCAATAGCATGGTCCCAGGGCTTCCGAGGGGGCAGCACGTGAAAGGCCTCCTTTGAGAATACTGTCAGGGTTCAGCACCCTGCCTTAGGGTGCCCCGGACTCCCCACCTACTTTACCCCTTTTATTCTTTGACTGTTGCCTTGTTGTTGCCTTTGTGTGTTGTGTACACGCATGCACGGGTCACAGCCACAGTTCTGGGCAAGCAACTCGCCCAGAACGTTCCCACGCTTACTGGGCACTGCCACCTGGATGTTCCCTCCGGGTCACACTACACAACTCTAGGAGCTGTATAGTTGTGGGCATGTGACCCATTCCTTTATATAGCAACCATGCGGGGAGATGAGACCTTTACCCTTCTTCTCATCTCATGCCCCGCATAGGCAAGTGTATATATTCCCTTTCTTTTACTATACATCTCATGCCCCGCATAGTGTGAGGACAGGCCAGATGGGGGTTGAGGTCAGGGAGCCTCCGAGTCCAAGGCCGGGCCCTGACAAATACATACATCCTGAAAGTCCCTGTAGTGCTCGGGCCCCAGGTCATGGGGGGGGGGGGGGCAGCAGATTGTGGCGGGGTCCAGGTGGCAGGCGTGTGAAGGGCTGGGGGGTTGGTGGTGGCGGTCTTGCAGGGGGAGGGGGCGGTTTAAACAGGGGGAGGTGGGGTTGTGTCGCCTGGAAGCACTGCCACTGGTTGTTGAGGAGGGTGGCTTCTCGTTTCCATTCTGCCCAAGTCCTTGGCATGGGATGCAGGTGATAGATGCTCTTGTGGAGCTGTCAGGGCACACACCCTGACTAGCCCGGACCCACTACATTTCCCGCGTGCATTCCTGCGCCGCATGATCCGGCCCCGGATCCTGCCTTCATGTGACTTCCGGATATTCCCAGAAGTTTTCCTGATATGGTGGCCACTGTGGGAAGATGAGAAGTTAGCTTCCTTCTCATCTTCTTACCCACAGTAGGCAAGTTGTATCTTACTTGCCTTTATATCTATTACATCTTCTTACCCACAGTAGGATTGTGCCCTGGATAGGGCTGGCCAGACCTGAGGCTGTGGGCCATAGGGGAGGGTCATGGGGACCCAGGAGTCGTCCCCTGACAGGAGCTGCACGTTGATCACTTGTTCAAAGTGGTCTACCAGCCCCACATCACCCAGCTGCGAGGTGGGGCCATGGATCTCGAACTCCTGGATAATCTTATCCACGGAGTCAGTACCTTGCCACAGGGTGGCGAGCTTCTGTTGGGCGGTGGCTTCATGGTTTGGATCTTGGAACATGGCATCAAGCTCCACCATGAAGTCATCCATAGTGGTTGCAGGAGATCCTGCTGTCAGCAGTGCAATCATGCGCTGTGTTGCCCATGCTCCTGCAGCTCCTCCTTTCATGTATGACAAGACGAAGAGGATCTGGGACAGAGTGTCAGGGAACTCTGCTGTGCAGACATGGAAATAGATCCCACATTCTGCTTTGAAGCAGTTGAGGTCCTCGCTCGCACCAGTGAAGGTGGTGGGTGCGGCGACCTTGGGTGCTTTGGGTTTGGGTGCAGGTGTGGGTGCAGGCACGGGTGTGGGTGCAGGTGGTGGGTTTTGGATTCTGCTCTCAAGGATCGCTTGCAGTTCCTGGAACCTGGTCAGCAGGTCCTGGTACTGCTCCTCGGTCACCATGCTGGAGGAGGCGGGGGAGACTAGGTTGAAGCCTTCTTCTGCTGTCAGGGATGGTACAGGAGAGGCAGCGGTAGCGGCATAGTCCCCAGCGCTAGCAGCCCAGGTGGCAGTGGAGTGATGGGAATGTATGGCAAGAGGCCTTCACTCGGGCTCATGTCCCTGTCTGGCTTCTTAGGCTGAAGCTGAAGCAGTAATGATTGTTATTAGGATGAAAGGCTAAACTAAACTAAGGTACTTGCCTGAAGCAGTAATGAGAAGAAGGCTACTTCTTCGGTTCTGCTTCGGTGTCAGGGCACATACCCTGACTTAGCCCGGACCCGGACCCGCATCCGGACCCACTCCACTTCCCGCGCACTTCCTGCGCCGCACGCTCTGCACACCGCATGATCCGACCCCGGATCCCACCTCATGTGACTTCCGGGGATACCCGGAAGTTTTCGCCATATTGGGGCCACTGTGGGAAAGTGAGAAGTTAACCTTCTTCTCACTTTCTTACCCACAGTAGGTTATGCCTTAGGATAGGCTGTTTACACACAGGGCTGTGGGCTATAGAGAGAGGGGTCATGGGGACCCAGGGTCCGTCCCCTGACATTCGGCTTGGTTTATATACAGGCAGGAATGGGTCATGTGGAGGGTGCCACATCAGCCCAGGTGGAGCCGGGCTATTGTGGATGGCTCCGCAGGCAATCCCAAGTGTCAGAGGAGAGAAGTACAAATGAGGATGCGTGGCATATCCGGCAGCACAGTACCCACATGGAGTACTCGGCATCAGATGCGTCCATGCTACATGGGTAAGAGGAGAGGTTGTCTGTATAAAGAATGAAAGGAAGGAAGAGAGGGAAAGAGGAAAGACAAAGGAGAAAGGGAAAGAGGAGCAATGGGAGGGTGTGGCACAGAGTGGAGCGGCATGCCCTGACAGTAACCCCCTTCTCACCTTTTCCACTTCAGTCTAAGTGGCCAGGGACTGCTGTCCCACATTGGGCCCGCCAGCATGCATGCCCACTTCACACCCTGAGAGGGCCCCTCTGCTGGGCACTACATCTGGGCCCCCTCCACCCTGGACATGTCTGTCACACCAAAGTGATGGATGTAGTAGCATGGGTAGTGTAAACATAATCATCTCACATTGAATAGGCAATTGAATTCAGAAAATGGTTCTGCTGGTTAACAGACACATGATAGGGTACAAGGAACCAATGAGAGGCTGGGAATGAACCAATCAGATGTGATCCATGACCACCTCATTATTAATTAGTTAGATGTTAGATTTAATTTTAGTTTTTTTTGTTTAAATGTGCATGTTTGTTTTCATTGTTTCTTAGGGAGGGGAGTGTTTTGGGTGGCTTAGACTGCTCCTAGCAGCTCACTTGGGTAAAGTTGTTGGAGATTGTGAGGCCCCAGCCCATGTTTATGTTCCACTCACAACATCAATTGATGTTGTGTTATCTAACATAGACATGGGCCAGGGCCTCACAGAGATCAACCTCAAAACATGTATTGACATATATTTGTGCCGACAATTCTATTAAGCGGTCTACTGTCATCTAGTCTGACCCCAGCCCTGTTGTGCCCTCATTCCCATTAAGAGTGAGAGTGGCCCTTCTGGTGCAGGGTCAGCAGGTAGGGTACTTGTTTGCCTGGCTAGCCTCTCTCCCCAGTACTGGCAGTCTCCCCTTGTTAGGTTCAGGTTTTGTGTGTTTCTTAGGTTCCTAGTTCAATGACTTTGCAGTCATATGCTGCTTTTCTTCTTTGTCTACCCTCCACCTTCCCCAACTCCTAGGGCTCCTAGCAGATTGAATGACACTCAGATATCCACAGATTTATCTGAAAATTTGCAGATCTGGATTTGGCTTTTGAGAGGATCATATCTGCAGTCTCTAATCCGCAGATAGGTGGATTGTCTGTGGATTAAATATATCCCACTTTTCTAGATACCCCTCCTGTGTTTCCATATTTTTTCCCAATTTTTACAAGTCCTATCTAACCACCCAGGCCTGTTATTTCCAAATTTGGCATCTGACACCCATCTTTTGTGCCATTTTCCCCATATCTCTGTCAGTTCTCACCAATATGGACATATTTGGTATTGTTAGAAAGCTCTCATCAGGGCCATTCTAACAGAATACAATTTTAGAACATATTATTTATAATCCGCGGATTCTGATCCGGATCCGGACCGAGTCGATCCGCTAGGAGCCCTACCAACTCCCCTTTGGCTATTAAATTTTACCTGCTTTCTTAAACTGTACTCTGTGTATTGCGGCTCGCCCTTGGCCGTTATGTCCTGCAAATCAGCATTTTGCGCCAGCCCATGTTGGGCTGGACGGAACCGATTAGAGGTGAACGTTTATTGGTCAGTAGAGTGAGGACCCGCGGGGATGTGGATAAGGGACCCTGGGTTTTGGGCCTGTGCATAGGACAATTGAGGGGGAATTCCTACTGTACCAGCAATGTCTCACGGACAACCTACCGCCCTCCATGCTGCCCTAAGGACTATCGATAACCTTTTGGAGGATGCATCTCTTACAGTCCAGGCTATCAATCGTTCCTGGGGGCCTTTGCCAAAGACGACGGAGGACTTCAAACAGGCCGAAGCTACATCAATGATAGCCAGTGATATTGAGGCTGTTCGTGCCCAGATCAAACGAGGACTACCCATCGAAGGCGATCCTGGAGAAATCGCCGTACGTTTCCAAATTCTCTGCGCAATTCTCGCAACAGTTTCAGTCGATGATATGTTTTGTGTCCACGTAGGCCTCTGTGTTGGATGTTGCCAAGGCAGGTTCCCCATTTGCGACTGAGGGGATCCATGATCGCAAGTTCGCGGTATGTACTATGGTCTCAACTCCTTGCTTTGAAAGATTCTCGTAGTAAACTTGTCCCACTTCTTAGCTCGAATACATTCTCTCTTTTCTCTCTCGTGCGGACCCACGAGTCGGAGGGAAAGTTGAACATCTGGCCATTCGAACTCTCTACTATGACCTTTCTCATCCACCTGCCACGAACATGGGCCAAAAGTATCAGTTCCGTTCTGCGGATGGATCAGGTAATAGTGCCTACGACCCAGATATGGGCAAAGCCTTCTCGCCGTATTCTAGGAGTTGCAGTGGCTCGCGGCCGTTACCAGACTCGGAGTTACCTGATCCTGGTTTGGTATATGATGCAATTATCAAAAGGGATCCTACCAAGTTTACTCCACATCCTGCTGGGTATAGTGGGCTATTTTTCAGTTTTGCGGTGCGTTCCCTCCCCTCTTTCGAAACAATGTTTCCAAAAAGGAAGATTATGCCTCATGCGCCTCTTCTTTCAGACGTTTGTCGTTCACAGCGTATTCCGGACGAGTCGAACGGATTTTAATATCAACGAGACGTCGTCTTACGTTGACCTGGGCATTTTGTATGGGAACACGCAGGCCCATCAGGATAAGATTCGTTACGTAGACGGTCGTGGAAGGATCCTTCCTGATGTTTATGCTGAATTCCGCCTCATCAACTTGCCTCCTGCTGTGAACGCGGTTCGTGTTTTTGCGACAATTTCGATCTCTGCGTTGAGACTTACTCGCATTCCATTTGCTCCAGCTTATCATCTTGTTTAGCCGCAACCACAACGTACGTGCTCTTCAGTAGCCGGGGTTTGATCTTTGTTCTGATTATATACCGCAGTACATTGCCGATATGTTGCTTCGTATCAACGAGCGCGAAACGTGGACCCAGGATATTCAGAACCTGAACAAGGAATCGCTTGTCAAACAAGACTACGAAATTTTCAATACTGCACGCCTCATCAACTCTGCGACTTTCGCGTTTGTCATCCTTGGAGATTACCTCGCTGCTATTCTGGGCACTGTACGAGATGGATCCAGCTGGACGTTGGATATCAGCGATGAGAGGAGGGAGAGTGATCATCAACTCTTGGGAAGAGGACGAGGGAATTCTTGTTCGGTGGAATTTAATACGCTTTATCGTTGGCATTCTGGTTTAAGTGCTGAGGATGCGGAGTATAATGGTGGGTTCTATTTATTCGAATGTCAAAATACTCGAGAGATACTCATGAGACTGATTAATTCAGAGCGAGTTTTCCAGTACTTGTTTGCCAAGGAACCCGGTGTGCCTGTTGACTTTGACAAGGTTTGTTCGGCTCGCACCCTCATTCGCTCGACCAGCAGTCTATTATTTTCCTTGCTCTTTTTCCAGATTACTCCCGCGGATTTCGAGTACGTTCTTGGAAAGAGAGCCATGGCTGCTACGTACAGCCGCCTACGAGATAAGGACGGCAAGCCTGCTCCATTACCCAATTTTGATCACCTTACGCCCCGACAAGTCGAGTCTCTCATCGACGATAGCAAACCTGTGGACTACCTTCTCGACCAGTGGTCTTTCAAAGGATTCTCGCTCCCAGGATCCAGAACCTTTGAAAGGAATCCGAGAGATCCGAAGACGAAAAAGTACAAGGATGATTTGCTGGCGAATGCGTTGTTGAGCGCTACCTCGGTCCCTGCTCATATATTCGGAGCTAGAGGTGTACCTGGTGCGTTGCGAGTCATCGAGATTCTGGGCATTCAACAGGCTCGATCGTGGGGAACTTGTTCCCTTAACGAGTTCCGAAGGTTCTTAGGCCTGGAGGCGTATTCAACGTTCGAAGAATGGAATCCGGATAAGGAAGTGGCTGAGGCTGCTCGTAAGCTTTATGGGACGACGGAAAATTTGGAATTGTATGTTGGCCTTGTAGCGGAGGAAGCCAAGCCTGTCAGGAATGGCTCGGGGTTATGTCCTTCATGTGCGCGATATCTCTCCCTTTTCCCTAAAGTGGCCTGTATCACTAAACATTCGTTATCGTCGATGCTGTTGTTATGGATATCAGACACCGTCTCCAGAGCGATTCTAGCGGACGCTGTCGCTTTGGTTCGTGGTGATCGTTATTTGACATTTGACTTTACACCTTTCAACTTGACAACGTGGGGTTTTGCCGAGGCTAACCGGAATATCACCAACGCCGCCTGGGGCGGTGTTCTTGGCCGACTTCTAGCCCGGGGTCTTCCTCGACATTACGATGCCACCTCGGTATACACTCACTTCCCTCTCATCACGCCCAAGGGACAACCATATTCGATGGATCACATCCTCGCCAAATTGGGGGAGGCGAAGGAATTTACGTTCGATAAGCCCACCAAGAAAGGTATCCTTCGTGTCGTTGTGGATCCTAAAGATGTCGAGGCGGCTTTAGGGGACCCGCCGGTGGTTATCCAGGGTCTTGTGACTCAGTACGTGAAGAACGTGAAAGACATAGGTCTAACTCCTAGCTTCCTTACCGTTATCGACGATGCGGCAGCCTATGCGCGTGTTACGGCTTTGGTGCAAGATTACTTCGTTCCCGCTTCGGAACTTGAGAAGAATGGAAAGTGGTTCTACGAGAAGGCGTGTCAGTTAATCAGAGAAAATTCGTATACGGTGCATTCCAAGGCTCCGAAGAGAGTTGATGTTGTGAAGGAAGTGCTTAGGATTATCCCCGTGCATTGGGCCGCTCAAGTTGTGCGTTTCCACGTTCGCCCCTATTTTTTGTTTTGGTGCGCTGATTCACGGACGACTCGAATTAAGGCCGGACTCCCCGTCAAGACAGCGCAAGAGACGAGAGGGATTTACTATGAACAGCAAATGTATCAGATGCTGAAGGAAATCTATTCGTCAGTACATTGTTATCGTGCCCTTCCCCCCCAAATAGCGAATTTGTGCCATTTCCTAGGTACATCTTCTTGGAACCCGAACCATCTTTGAAGATTCCTAACCAAAGGGAAGCTCGCGAGAACGTTGATCGCCTGCGTCGATTTGTGAAACTTAGCCTGACGGTGGCGAAGGGCGGTGTACGTAGCCTTCACTCCGCGCCTTCCCGAATCGGTAGTCCAGTCATGCTGATACACCATATTTTTTAAGTTGTCTTCCTCGGTTTTGGGTGGCTTAGCGAGCATAGTCCTTGGCGAAGGCAACCAGAGCGCCAACCCTATCCTCAAGCGACTCCTCGCTCTTGGATCACCAACGGATGAACTTGCGAATGACATTATTGCCGTCATTTCGAGCGCCATTGAGTTATCTCAGGGTAAGGGGAGACACATTGCGCGGTTTTCATCTGGCTATGAGTGTGTTCGCTGATCACCTGCTCCGGTGCTTGTCTTGCATGATAGTCTTCACTCACGTCATAAACTTCTACCTGCCTCAACGTCAGGAGGTGAATGCATGGAAGCCTTCTGCTACGGAACGCACTACTACGTCCCGAGGTGAAGGGGCTGCCAGTAACGTCGCTGCGGTAGCGGCGAGAGGTGGAGATGAGATCTCGTTGTGTACCCTTGAAGGGTATGTTCTAGAGGCACTGCGTAGGTTCCCCTCAGGATTATATTCCTTTTAAACTGGGCCCTAATGAAACCGAATGTAGGCTTCGACCCTGTTACACCAGGTGTCTACCGTGTTGCAACCACCAATATCCGACACATGATGGCAATGGTTTCCAGTGCGAAAGGCGATAGATTCTATTTTGATTTCACCAAGGCTGCTGTCGATTCTAACGCCTTTGATGACGCCTACCAAATCAACCCCCATCGCCACCCGGCCTCCTACACCATCTACGGGGGCGATGGAGTGTTTAAGACCCTTGGCCAGAAGTTTGTTGTAAGGGTTACTGCTGAGGTGCTTAGAGCCGTCTTCGAGCTCAGGAACGTACAAAGGACTCTGGGGAAGGAGGGGATACTGAGAAGGTCTGAATCCAAGGTCTACCAAGGAAGCTGATTGATTGTCTTTCATGACCTAACAGATTCAAGGAGCCCGTTGTCACTGTGGACGATATCGTCACCGTTGAAACGACTCAGGTGCCCTTCATGGAAGTGGATTCGAATGGAGTGCTCGTCGATACCTTGTGGACGGAAGAGGTCAACGTTTACAAGTTGCAATCTGGTATTTCCAGGGAAGAAGGCAAGATCCCGGCCGAACGGTGGGCTTATTTGGATCCGGAAATCGGACATCATCCTTCTACCTGGGCGACAGGATTGACTATTGAGGCATGTGCCCTTTTTGTTGCGGGGTTACTTTGTTCGGCTCGTCTAAATGCTGACGCTGAATGCAATGCTTCGTTTAGTATTATAATGAGCTCGCTTCGAGGGGATGAGTAGCAGTGACTGGAAACCACATGGCCAGAGAATGCTGTATTGACGGTTTAATTGTAGTTTAGCTGCACAAGTTATTGTTTGTTATTTAATGGAGGTACGAGATTAAATTAGGCTTGTGTGCGGTTGGACTAAGCGCTCTTTTTTCGCGCATGGCACATTACCCGGTGATGCCCTCATCTTATGCGCCGTACCCGCTGTCAGCCTTACGCATACTGTGTCTTCCGAGGCTACAGTCATGCCGATTCAGGTTTTATTGCCGCTGCATACCTGGGTCGATTTCTTCGGACGGATTCTGTACGTGTTTATTCGTCCGCTCATGCTTCTGGGCTCTGGCCCTCTTATTCCTCATCCTCTGCTGAAGACGTTTTCTTTGTTTCTTTTTTAGTCTCATTTCTTTTGGCCTGAAAACCGATTTTTGACGTAGTTTTCTCTCGGAGTCCCTTACTTCCGGTAAGCATTTCGGTCTGGGGGTGTTGTGACCTCCGGTTACTCTCGGTGGGTTGGATCCCGAGTGCTTACTCTAGTTTTTCTAGGTTTCTTTATTTTCGGTTGTTCCCTTGTTTTTGTAACCTCCATTCTTCTCCTTGTTCTTCCTCATCCTTGTTTTTTCACATTGCCCTCCTCCTTCCCCAATCTCCATCCTTGTAAATTACCTGGCTCATCTTCAATTCCAGAGGTTCTGGCATTTTCCGGGACTGTTGCCACACTATTCTATTGCATCTCCTCTGGCGTGCACACAAGGCAATTTCAATCCATCACCTACCCTACATGTGTTTTCACTTCAACTCACTCCGGAGCGGGGCCATGGGACCAAGATTTTGATATGCTAAGCATTTATGATGGCAGGCTGGGACTCGACTCAACATCAGGAAATTGTCGCGGTTCAACTTTGGACACTTCTGATGATCCTGTTGCTTCTAATACAATGAAACTGACCAATTTCCCAAAGCATTTTAGTAAAGGTGTCATTACTCTGCACACAGAGTCACTAACCACTCCCAAGATTATGCAATTGGCAACGCTGAAAATTTGTCATCATCTTCCCTTTTGGGTTGTTTCCTTTTCTTTACATGCTTTCTTTTACGTCATCTCACCTGTCCCTTCTCTCCCTTTACTTTCCTTCCACCATTTCCACTCCCACTCAGTTCTTGTCCTTAAATTCTCGGTTTAATCATATGCCTCTTGCATGTGACAATGTCACACATGCATTAAATGGTGTCAACATGCTTGGTGATGTTCCTATGTCTGCATTCCAATTAAATACATATTTTTATAGCCCAAGTATATTTGTGAAACAAACTGAAAAAAAAATAGAAATAGATTCATGCTGGGACAGGTGAAAGGAAACAAGGGCTGTTGTCATATCAATACAACTCTGGACCTCTGCTCCTGTTTCTGGACCTCCATCTGCTCCTCCAGAACTCCACATCCTCCTCCTCCTCCCCCTGTTGGTTGTTGAGAGCCCACCCTACCTCTGGCTCCAACACAATGTCCAACACTACCTCTGATCCGACTCCTGGTTACTCTGGGTCCGATCCCAACTGTCAGGGTCAGCACCCTGCCCTAGGGTGCCCCAGACTCCCCAACCAATCCCTTCCTTCCATTCCTTCATTGTTGCCTTGTTGTTGCCTTTCTGTGTTGTGTATCTGCACACATGGGATAGCGTGGGAACTTTCTGAGTGAGCAGCTTGCCCAGAATGTTCCCATGGGTCACAGCCACAGTTCTGGGCAAGCAACTTGCCCAGAACGTTCCCACACTTACTGGGCACTGCCACCTGGATGTTCCCTCTGGGTCACACTACACAACTCTAGGAGCTGTATAGTTGTGGGCATGTGACCCATTCCTTTATATAGCAACCATGTGGGGAGATGAGACTTTTACCCTTCTCATCTCATGCCCTGCATAGTGTGAGGGGGGTTGAGGTCAGCCTCTGAGTCCAAGGCTGGGCCCTGACACCAACCTCATACCTTCCAGACCAGAGCTTGCAATGCTCCATACCTCTGGCTCCGGACTCCTGTACCAGGACCCCATTGCACCTCCACCTCTGGAACTCTGGTCACATCTCTGCCTCTGGACTTTGACCTCCTCCTCCGTCTTATCTCCTTGTATTCCTTATTACATTTCATTTATTATGTCTTGCCAATATTCTGGACTTAGACTTCTGACTCCGGAACTTACTCCGGACCCTGCAGTCTCTACTGTATGGTGTCATTTAATCCTCTTGTTGCCTCTTCCTTATTTAGACAGCTGCTTCCTTTCCATATTAGTCAGCTGTCATTCCCCACAACCCCCTCCACTCCTTCCCCTCTTGGCCTTGCCCTTTTGGGAAGCACCATAGAGTCCCAACCCTTGACCCTTGGGGTTGTTCCCTGAAAGGTTATCTTACTTGTTTTGGGGACGGTACGTTCCGTTCCCCTGTTTGCCTCAGGCCTCAAGTGGTCCATCTAAGTATACACTTTGATGGGCTGTATATTAACGGGGTAGAAGTAAAGGCTGATCCACCTTTTACAGCTACCCCGAGGGTTTATATACATTCTAATGCATTCTTGGCACAAATAAATAGAGAAGCTTCCATGACACTAAATTAGCGTTGCGACATAATTATTAGACAACACAACATCAACTGATGTTGTGGGTGGAATATAGACATGGGCTGGGGCCTCACATCCTCCTCCCTTGCAATATTAAATCGCAGACAGGGTACAAGCATATATACACAAGGGGAAAGCAAGCATTTTAAAGAAATAAAATTTTAATGTTCTACATATGAAAGATGTATGCAAACGGGGGCACACTCATTGCAGGAGGCTATAATAGTAGTTTGTAGGCGAAGCCCACTTAGAGTTTCTCCTGGAACATATGCACCCAGATCTCGACAACAGAGAGGAAAATGAATAATCAACGACATTGTCGTTGACAAAAGAGGAATGGTACAACATAGATAATCAATGACAGCATTGTCGTTGATGAAGGTAAGAAGTTATTAATCAACGATGGCCTTGTCATTGACGAAAGTGAGTAATCAACAATAGCATTGTCGTTGATGAAGGTAGGGATGTGAGGGGATCAGTTCCTCATCCGTTTACATGGCACAGACCCGGATGGGCCAGAGCTGGATGGGCGATTTGACGTAGTCCTACAAGTCGTCGTGGACCTTGCTGCGTTGACAGCAACATCGTCGCTGAGATAGTTGTCATCATAGTGACAAGTCTTGATGTCAGCATCGTTCATGGATGAATCCTCATCTTGACGACGGTGCGAGTAATGGGCATGGTGTGTGGGATGGCTGCATCCATGGGAAGTGGAGGGAGCACTGTCAGGGCATACACCCTGACCTAGCCCATACCCGCATCCACACCCGCACTCGCACCTGCACCCGCAACTGCACCCAGCTGTTGCACTCCCCGTGCGCGCCCTGTGCCGGACGCTCAGTGTGGCCAGATGGCCCGGACCTCGGGTCTCGGGTCTCATGTGACTTCCGGATATCTCTGGAAGTTTTCGATGTGTTGTGGCCACTGTGGGAAGATGAGAAGTTAACTTCCTTCTCATCTCTGACCCACAGTAGGCAAGTTGTATATACTTGCCTCTCTTTTATATACCATCTCTGACCCACAGTAGGATTGTGCTCTGGATAGGGCTGGCCAGACTTGAGGCTGTGGGCCATAGGGGAGGGTCATGGGGACCCGGGAGTTGTCCCCTGACAAGCACACCCATGCACTGGTGGTGTGTGGGTGGATTTGTACACTGATGAGTGTGCATACGTTGGAGGGGGATACTGCAGTGGAGGTGGGGTGTTTGAATATGCCACAGGGTGTGGGCTTGCATACATCATAGGTGGGTTTGAGTACATAAGTGCTCGTTCCTGATGTTGAATCTTATGACACTCACTGTCAGGGACGCATCCGGGGTAGAGGGGGTCCAGATGTATCGCCTGGCAGAAGGGCCCTCATGGGGTGTGAATCGGGCACGCATGCTGGTGGGTCCGGGAAGGGACAGCAGTCCCTGGCCACTTAGACTGAAGTGGAGAATGTGTTATTATTATTAAAGGGGAAAACTATACTACTTACCTGAAGTGGAGAATGTGAGAAGAAGGTTACTTCTTCGGTTCCCACTTCAGGTACATTTATGTACATGCAGCTTGAGTCACATGACGAGTGCCATGTCATCCTCGGAGACAGCTGCAGGCATCCAGGTGTCCCCATGGGGGATCCTGAGAGCGTCCGCTGCATGCGCGTGTGCTGGGCACAGTGGGAAGCCGTCTGGGGTGTGTGGGCTGGACGGGTCAATAGTACATCGATACAAAGGAAGGTGGTCCATGTAGATAGAAGGAAATAAACAGGAAGAGGAAGATGAGAAGAATGAAATAAAGAAAGGAGAAGAAAGAGGGAAAAGAAAGGGGAAGAGAGGGAGGAGGGAGGAGGGAGAGGGATGGACAGCGGGAAGCGGGTGTGGTGTGGCTGGGTGGGTCCAGGTGGACCCGGGTCAGGCGGGTGTGCCCTGACACTCACAAGTGTCGTCGGTCATTGGTTTTATCCATTGACACATGAGGATGTACATCCATGCAATACGAGCTGGGGGGTACTGGTCGGGAAGTCTTTTCACCTCCATCTCAATGTTGTCGCGCGACATACACATTCATGAGGCACGGTTGTTTGTAGCCACCCTGTACCAGTCGGTACAGGTGTTGATGTCCTCTTGCGAGGGCTTGCCCATCTTGAACGACCAGGCAAGATGGTACATTGTAGCATAGAATCTCACACCTTCTTTGGTGTGTATGTAGTTTCGAACCAACTCGAACCACTTAGGTTCTTTGTCGTGGAGGAGTGCAGCTGCGTCTGGGAATTTGATTCTATCGACATGGTCAATGTCATAGAAGCAGGTAGGAAGGGCCACTGATCGACAATATGTTGGTGGGGGTAGGGGTTTGCCATGCACTTCAGTGAGTTTGGCATCATAGTACTTGTAGTAGTGGTAACCGGGTGGACAGTTTGCGACGAATTCC